TCAATTGCTGTGTATTCCTCCTTGAATTCCTTCTCATTATTTAGAATCAAAGGTCATCAAAGGGCAGAAAATCAAATGTATGAAAGTGCACTTCAAGCTTTGTATTTATACATTAATAGCTGGATTATGAGAGTTTAAATGGCTACTGCAAAGACCAGAACAGAGTAAAAATAACACATTTTGAGCCATCTGAAATACAGACAGAATTATGGTGCTATTTTTCATTCAGTTTGTCACATAAATGAGACATATTGACCTAAATATTTTCAGATGGATATCATGCTGCCTAAGTGAAAAAATATCGGTATGTTTAAAAGCACCTTTTTCTTTAATACAACAAATGTATGTGAGAGTCAAGCTTGATTCTGTATTTAGCCCTCAATTAGGATTTTTATACTAATTTAGTGGTAAAGCATTCCACCTTAAAGTTTGAGAGTAGCAATTCAATGGGTGGTCATAGAGAGACACAATTTCTGGTTTTCTGTTATTTTCAAGTCATTTTAGGAACTACAGGAATATTTTTGTAGGAAGCCAGTTATTTTACTGCTGCTGTAACTCAGAATCGGGGTAGTAAGGGCAGTTGCCATATAAAAGTTCTAATGAGAAGGGCAAAACACAGTCTGAGACTGGACTAAGTAGCCTGGAATAATTTTAAAAAGGAGAGAAAAGTTAAAAATAAGCTGAAAATGGGTCTGAGAAAGGGCTAAGCTCTGTCATCTGCAGTCTTGCAAATGAAAAAAGGAGAAAGAAAACAATGGAAAAAGCCAAGAAAGCCCTTTTGTTACCAAGTAAACTTGATTATCTGTTCATATCTGTTTTGTCTCAGTTTTAGCATAGCTGTGGCTAGGCTGGGCTCTGTTCTTCAGCACCAGAGACCAGCTGCTGCTATGGACATTGACTTGGCCATCTGGAAGTTTGGGTTGGCCAATAAGGAAGTTGGGGTTGTTCAGCTTAGAGAAAAGGAGGCTCCATGGTGACCTTATAGCAACTTCCCAATATCTATTCTACAAGAAAGCCGGGGTAGGGCTTTTTACACAGGTGTATAGTGAGAGGACAAGGGACAATGGTCTGAAGCTTGAAGAGGGGAGATTCAGGTTGCACATGAGGAAGAAGTTCATTCCTGTGAGGGTGGTGAGATGGAATGGGTTGCCCAGGGAGGCTGTAGATGCCCTCTCTCCTGAGGTCTTCAAGGCCAGGTTGGATGGGGCCTTGAGCAACCTGATCTAGTGGGAGGTGTCCCTGCCCATGCAGGGGGTTGGAACTAGATGTTCTTCTAGGTCCCTTCCAATCCAAACCATTCTATGATTCTATGATTCTGTGATCTGTTCGTGTTCTCAAGGTTGTTACCAGTCAGAGCTTGCTGTGCCCTTTGCTTTCCCATGGGAATCTTTCCACTCTAGGCCTAGGGCTCTAAAACTGAGAGGCAGAGAGCAACTGAATCACAAAGGGAAACTGAGGCAGGCACACTGAGATGGAGCTCCCTGCTGCAGCACTTGAAAGCATGAGGGTACAGGCACAAAAGGAGTTATATCTCAACAAGTGCAAAGAAAAGTTACAAGTGTGAGAAGAACCGTATCTTAACAAGTGCAAAGAAAAGTTACTACTAAAACTTCCTCCAGTCCAAGTGAGATTTAGAATTCACTATAAAATAGCACTTCCTATGAATGTACTAATGGGAAACATGATATGCTGCTTTTCTTGGCTGACAGAGCAGAAAAGAAACTTAGATGATGTACTCTTATTTTTTCTTAAAAGCTAAATTGCAGAAGAAAAGGGTAAATGTTGAATATAATGGCTGAGATATCTTGTAACCTCTGAATACAGCTTAATGTATGGAACAATATGGCTTTTTTTGCTTATCTTGCACAAAAAAAAAATATTTAAAAATATTTGCTCTCTTATCGCCTTCATAAGGGTGATGTTACAGCTTTGAAAGCTTCTGAACGAGATCATATATTGGGTGTCTGTGTCCTATGGTCATAGTCTCGAAGCCACTACTCATGTCAGAGCCTGACTACATTGTACTGATGCAATCAGATTGTGGTGCCAGGTGGGAGGATTGGTTTTCACTGGAAGAAGGAATGAAGTCCTCTAATGCACCAGTACAGTGGAGGCCTGAGCACAACAAATAAGTAGCTGTCCTTTGAAGCTTTTTTTCTTTCAGTGATAAAAATCCCTGTTAGATGCTATGCTATACTTTTAAAGACAGATGCTAACCTTAAACAATTGTCTAATTTACAATACTGCTTCCTGCCCACCCCCTGCCACCAAGACACTCAATTTCCAAGACACTCTTGGAAAAAGTAACATTTTAATTTTAGCAGTGACAGATATTTTATTATGGAGATATGTTATACTGCTTAGAAGATCAACAAAACAAACATCTTCTGGAACATTTTATAATGCTGTGATGCTATTATCTGATGGTTTCTCAGCAGGTTATTGACTGTTGACATTAACAATGACTGCTAAACATAAAATTTGTGGGGGAAAAAAATCCGTTGGTTTTTTTTTTTGTTGGTTTTTTTTTTCTCAATTTGTATTAAAAGTGAAGTGAAGCTTTAGATAAGCATTATTTTGCACTGATTTTTCAGTACCCTGACCCATGTTACAACAAAGACATTTCTGTGATTTACAATACTGAGTGAATACTGGAAACCTCTAAATTGTAACATTGATTTTACCTGTTTTCACAGATCAATTTGAAACAGAACAAGTGTGAAATATTACAAATTCAATATTTAATATTATGATTTTTTTCATACTCTAACACTTAAATACCCACCTTTTGCTAGTAAAATCAAGACTGTATTTACATTCTCGTTTATTGAGTTTATCTGTACAAACCGCATTATAATACTAGCTTTAATGCTATCAATTCATGCAGCTAAACAATTAAATGCACAAAAATCGAGTTGACACTTGTGCTACCTTACCTTCTTTTTTAAAATTACATTACTAAAACCTGTATTTATATGAAACTCCATCCTGGGCTGTATCAAAAGAAGTGTGGCCAGCAGATTGAGAGAGGTGATTCTGCCCCTCTGCTCTGCCCTGGTGAGACCTCACCTAGAACACTGCATCCAGCTCTGGTGCCTCCAGCACAAGAAAGGTGTGGACCTGTTGGAACGTGTCCAGAAAAGGGCCACTAAAATGATGTGAGGGCTGGAGCAGCTCTCTTATGAGGACAGGCTGAGGGAGTCCTTCAGAACTGAGGTTGTTCAGTCTAAAAAAGAGAAGGCTCTGGGGGCTCATAGTGGCCTTCCAGTACCTGAAGGGGGCCTACAGGAAAGCTGGGAAGGGTCTTTTTACAGGGGCTTGCAGTGAGAGCACAAGGGGTAACAGTTTTAAGCTGAAAGAGGAGAGATTTAGGTTAGAGATCAGGCATAAATTCTTCAGTGTAAGGGTGGTGAGACACTGGAATAGACTGCCCAGAGATGCTGTGGGGGCTCCATCCCTGGAGGTGTTCAAGGGCAGGCTGGATGGGGCTCTGAGCAGCCTGTTCTAGCGGAAAGTGTCCCTGCCCACACAGGGGAGTTGGAACTCGATGATCTTTAAGGTCCCTTCCAACCCAAAACATTCTGTAATTTGGTATGGATTTCCATTAATTGGAAAACCTGGCTCAAACCAGGACACAGGGACAAGAACTTAATCTTTTGTATGTCCTTCCTTAAATTAAAAACAAAGAACTCTAAGCTTTTAAAAAGTCTTCAAACAACTTCTTATGTTCCTCCATGTCTGTAAATACATTTTGATCTATTTGTCTCCAAAGCCATTTTCATTAATTGACAACAAACACTTACTGAAGAGATCTTAAATTTATTAGGTATTTTCATTACAACTTTTATAATAAACAAGTATGTACTCAGAAAAACTGGACTTAGCATATTAAAGACTATTTTTGTTCATATTTATACTTTTAATACATTTAATATTTCTATAATTTCAGATATTTTAATTACAGAGTTTCAGAAAAGTGTGTCTGCTTCAAATCATTATGCAGATTTCCGAAATACCATGCTATCTACTACAAGAAATTTTCACTGGCTTTCTCGTACTGTTTTTAACAGGTTACTTCACAGTAGCAAAGTCCCTATCTAGAAGTATTTTAAATTCCATTAAAGCTCTATCAATTTCATGTAACTTTGCCCAGGCAATTCTGTGCCTTACATATGTGTAACATTTCTGGCATGACTAAATTGTTTTGGTGACTGCAATATAACTGCCTCTTCAATTTTTCTATCATTTGTGGGTTTATTATAAAATCAAAGTGGCAAGATTTATCATATTTAAGGTGGTGTTTAAAAGTAATTTATTTAATCAGTCAATTTTTAGTCCCTGTGTCCACTGACATTGAAGGCAGTTGCATTACTAATTAAAAAATTCAATAACTATGCATATACAGGTAACTCACATCTTCAGATTTTCACTGAATGTGCAATATTATATACACAAATTTGACAGACTATTAGGCATTTTACAACACAAAGTTAACAGATTATTAAAGCCTGCATATATTAACTATTGTGCGTGCAGGGCTTATCAATCATACCATTCTGAATTTTAGCATAAAAGAACACTTACTCCATGATGGGGTATTGAATATGAAAATTCTACTTGCTCTCACAAAAGTTTCTGCAAAAAGCCACACATCCGAGGCCCTGATAAACATTCATGCCTATAGATTATATATAATTATATATACAACACTATATATAATTATATAATATATAATAAAACTATTCCAGAATTTTATTCAAGAATTTTAATACAGTAGGCTTGTACAAAAAATATACATTTTTCATAACATCAAAAAATAAAATATCTGAAGATGTTCTGTGATAAATCTAGAAAAGGAGGAAAAATACAGTCTTAAAAATTAAGTTCTCCTCACATACACAATTTAAATGGAGACCACTGTATGATATTTGTACAGCTGACAAAAGCATTTGACTCAGTCTGAAAGATTAAAATACAGAGGTTATGAAAAATATGCAGACTTATTTCAGGAGTTTAACTTTGTCCTTTAAAACTTTAAATTTGGGATTGTTGTTCACTTTCTTGTTAAATATGACTAAAATATCCTCTTCTGATTTGTGTTGCTCAGCAGCTACTGCATAATATTGAGCTATAACCTGCAAAAAGACAGAGGAACAATTTTGAGTTAGTAAAGATGATTCCACTTTAAGCAACAATACATTCCTGTTAGGGTATTAGAAGTTGCATGGAATCTATTATGCAATTACTCCTTTGCAGGATTAGCATTGCATTTCTTCTGTAGTCCAGTAAGCAATAAAGAACATGTCCTTCAGCTGACATTCTGTCAACTGAAATTCTGTTAAATAATGTCAAACATTTTTGCTTATGAGAGGATTTTATGAACTTAAGGACTGCACAAAGAAATTTGAAGACCAAAGGAGATTAAAAAAACATGTTGTACAGTACCTTTTTTCTTAGTTTTTTAATTGAAATTTCATTGTCTGGAGCCTGTTTCAGAACAGCTTTGATGGTTCCCTTCCAGTTGAATTTACCTAGAAAATTATCAGGTGTACAACATCATTAGTAAATGTAGGTATTTCCAGGTGGTCTTCTCTATTAGGAACCAGCCTTCAGGCTCCTAATTCTGGAACCAGTTCAGCTACAACAGTTCATCGTTATCTTACCGACCCTACAACAGCAGGGTGTTTTAAGCATGAGGTCAGGTAGGTTGTTAATGAAGATTATGGCAGGACAGACATGAAGAACCAACATACTACTTGAACAACCAGGGTCAGGATCGCTTCTTCTTAACTGATGTGCATCAGCTATTAAGCAGCAACTCTTACCTAACATAGGAAAAGTGGAGTACATCCTGTCTCCTCAACTTTACAGCACAGGTAATGAATTTCATACAGTACCCAACTTCAGAGGTCATTAATTGGTAGTTTCCAAATAAACAATCTCTATGTTCAAGAACAGACATTTCCCAACAGTAACAGTGTGTTGGATGGCAGGCCTATGTTGGTTTATCCAAGCATAAGCTGAGGTCAAACACAGCTGAAATCTGATTTATAATTCACTGAATGAAAATGGGGATATGACAGATACAAGGGGATGTAAGAGAGGTGTCACCCTTTTTCCTCTGGGTTGACTAATGTGCAGTAGTGAAGAGACCTGCTGTGGTGAAACAAAGATGCCAAAGTCCTCACTGCCCAGTGGAAGAAAGCACAGCCAAAGGTTGCCAGCACAGCAGAAGCAACAAATGAGAGAAGGAATTCAGCATCAGGTGTTTGATAAAGAGTAGCACAGGCTACTTGCTCTGGAACAGGTATGTATACTGAACATACAGATGTGCATGTATAGTGAGGCATAACTTATTTCATGGCTGGCTGCAAAAGTACCCTTTTATATTCTGCACTAGGTCTTTCACAGAATAGTTTTGCAAATATCTAATAAACTTCCCCTTTAAGAATACCTTTATCCGTTCCCACATGTTCTTCACTGCCATTGGTGTTTTCTGTTTCCAAGTCTTCTGAGGTGTTTTCAGTTTTCTTTCTCTTTGTTGTGACATGAGGTTCCTCTAGAGATGGAATTGAATAAACATATAAAACAACTAGAAGTTCTGATGTGACTGAAAGTTTCTGTTCTTGTAACGCGAGTTAATATTTGCTAAGAAGTTCAGATTATATAAAAGAACTGTGCAGCTACAGTGTTAAAAAATTATATTTTATGTGTAACTTACTACTTAAAAAGCTATATTTAGGTAATGATTGACCTTTGAGGAATTGAGAAAAAGCATCTTGAAAACAAACAGGAATACAAGGTGTAGGATGGATACCTTCTGCATGTTTATGTTTGCGCTTCTTTACATTTGTTTGCTCTTCCAGTTCCCTCTGATGGCCATTTCCATTTATTTCAAATTCATTCTCCAAGCTCTCCTTTCCATTTTTTGACTTTTTGCTCTTTTTTACTTCTGATTGGTTTTCTAATTTCAAGTCTTTTTTCTCCTTTTTTTGGTTCTTTTGTCTCTCTTCTTTTCGTTCTCTCTTATTCTTTTTCCTCTCAATTTTATCATCTGCAGTGCCATTATCTTCTGCCATTGTTTCTTCCCCAGTTTCTGCAGACTTCCCCTCTTGTTTCTGTTGTGGTTTGCCTTGTTCTTTTTCACTTGAAATCTTTTGTTGAAAGAGAGATTATTACAATTTTACATGTCTTTTTTGACATTGCAACTATTCTCTACTACATCATTCACGAAGAACACTAATATTCTGAATCCAATTAAATTGTTTACATGTGGTGACATCAGTTACCTGAGAAATAGCACCAGTGTGGATGATTCTTCTTTTAACTTAACAGCCTAAATGCTAATTACTTTAACATTACAGAAGAAATACTGTCTTACAACACATACAATTTCTGTTTGGTGTAATTGTCCATGTCTTTTTTTAACGTATTTGCTAAATGTAATTAAGGGAGAGACAACTTTCATTTACACAGACAAAAACACAGCGTATTATAGCAAGATATAGAACCTATTCCCAAATATACAGCCCTTGATTAACAATCTCAGCTTTGCCATCCAGCTCCCTGTCTTGGGATATGTCTAGGACAACAAACTGTATATATACACCAAGCTGTATAATGTCAACAAAGGCACTGCTGGTTGTTGTAATTGTACTTTTCTCACCTTAACGTATCTGATTTACTTTTAATATTCCTAGGTGTATTTTATTGTAGAAAACTTAATATATCAATGAACATTTTTATATTTAAATTACACTGTAATTTTAATGATTATACATGAAAGACAATTACTGAAATGTTAATGCGGCTATTTAAAAAGTGTGCAGTAAAAGCCTGGAACCAAAGATAAAGGTATTTTTTCCCTTTCCTTATGTACTACTAGCATAAACTAAAGTTAAATTAGCCTTCCAATTAATACAAAATGTCAACTGTGTTCAAGTTTTTAATCACAACCAGCCCAGTATGCACAACTACTTCAGCAATAGTATGTTCCGCAAATTAGCAATTTAGTCTAGGAATATTACATTACAATATAGCATAAACCATTGTTACAATGGGAGACAGTATTTCTGCTAACATCTACAAAGGGAGCCTGAAAGGTTTTTCTTACAGGATTTTTTACTGCATTCCTGTTGTGCAATGTTGTGCCTCCAACTTAACTTACGTTTCTGGTTGCTTCAGAGAAAATATTCCACACCTGGTCTTGCAAAGTGCTATCAGAAATTTTCAAACTGTTCTTCATCCAATTCTGTGCAGGAAAGAAACCAACAATAACTGAAACACTGTGTATCCTACATTTTTTTCTTGATTATGACATAGCTCCTATTTTTATTTTTCATTTAGAATCTAATAACTTATTCTGGTTAAGAACTGGTTAGATGTTTACTCTGCATTAATCTCTTCAGCCTCCATGCTAAACTGTTCAGCGTAACGTTACACGGCTGTACCATACCTCTCAACTACCTCATCAATAGTAAGCTAGAGGAGCTAAATATATAGAAAAGATAATTCTAAAGCTTTTGAATCCAGCTGGTTATGTTAATGTCATACCAAACCTCCTGCAAAAATCAAGGATCTGCTCTTATTTATTTGTTTGGTTTTGTACTGGACAGACTGATGGTCATGCTCCTAAATTGATACCTCCGTTTATTACAGAAAAGTAATATTTAAGCAAATATCTCAATGCAAACATTTGAAAGCTGTTGGGG